TTGAGGGAGGTAATTCGACTACAAAGTCCATAGAAATTGACCCCCAAGGTCTTGATGGAACAGGAAGTGGCTGGAGCAACCCCAAAGGAGAAGCTCGGGGGTGTTTTATGACGTGCGCACGTCAGACAAGAGGCCACGTAGCGTTTGATATCCTTCTTATAACTAGGCCACCAGAAGGAACGTGACAGAAGGTCATCTGTTTTTGAAATCCCAAAATGTCCTGCCAGTTTGGAGTCATGAACTAATTTGAGGACTTCCACCCGAGCAGACTCAGGTACATAGAGACGATGTGCTGGAGTCCAAAAGCTGTGTTCTTGTACTCAAGGTTAATGTCCTTAGGAGGATCACTGAGAAGTGGGGGTCACTCATACCCCTCTTTGAGAAGACTCAAGAATGTCTCTGTACTTGTGGCCCCTAGGAAGTTCTTTTGCGTTAGGATAGAACATTCGGAGTTGCCCTCCTGGGGAGGCTCGGACAGCATCCTTGATAAGGCATCGGCCTTACCATTCCTTGATCCAGGCCGATATGATATAATAAAATTGAATCTGGAAAATAATAAAGACCAACATGCTTGTCTAGAATACAATCTCTTGGCCGAGCAAATGAATTCCAGATTTTTATGGTCAGTGAGAACAGTTGCAGGATGATTAGCCCCTTCTAGAAGATGCCTCCATTCAGAAAAGGCTTCCTTAACTGCCAGTAGCTCTTTATTCCCAATGTCATAATTCCTTTTGGCTGAGGACATCAAACGAGAAAAGTAGACACAAAGATAAAGCTGCATTTTTTCATCACTTCGCTGAGACAGGATAGCCCCCACGGCAGAATTGGAAGCATCCACTTCCACTATAATGGGTAGTTCAGGATCGGGATGTACCAAAAATTGATGCAGAAGTGAAAAGAGTTTTCAGCTTTTCAAATGCAGCTTGTGCCTCAGGGGTCCACACGTAGGGTACCCCTTTCTTTGTAAGCTGTGTAATTGGAGCTATCACTTTAGAAAAGTTTCTTATAAATGTTCTGTAGAAGTTGGCAAACCCGATGAAACTTTGAATTTTCTTAACATTTCCAGGTGCTGACCAATCTACCACTGATTTGATCTTCTCAGGATCCATGCTCACTCCCTCTGGAGGAATGATATAGCCTAAGAACTGGATCTGGGTTTGTTCAAACTCACATTTCTCCAATTTAATGTAAAGTCTATTCTTCCTTAATCTTTCAAAGACTGTGCAAACATGTTTGCGGCGCTCCCCCCAATTATCGGAAAAGATAAGGATATCATCCAGCTAAGCAATTACAAATTGGTCCAACAGATCACGAAAAACATCATTGATGAAATGCTGAAATGTTGCAGGGGCGTTGCAAAGTCCAAACGGCATCACCAAGGATTCAAAATGCCCATACCTGGTTTTGAAGACAGTTTTCCATTCGTCTCCTTAACGAATGCGGACAAAGTTATATGCCCCTCGTAAATCAAGTTTTGTAAAGATCTTGGCAGAACGAAGTCTTTCCAACATTTCAGAGATCAAGGGTAATGGATAGCGGTTCTTAATAGTGATTTTATTTATGTCTCTGTAGTCAATGCATGGACGCAAGGTGGAGTCTTTCTTTTCAATGAAGAACAGGGCTGCTCCTGCAGATGTTGAGCGTCTAATAAAGCCCTTCTCTAAATTCTCATCGATCCACACCCTGAGTACTTTTAATTCAGGTTCCGACAGACTGAAAAGGCGGCCAAAAGGTATTTCTGCCCCTGGGAGCAGCTCAATGGGACAATCATATGGGCGATGGGGGGGGGGGGGTAATTGATTGGCATTTTTCTTGTCACAGACATCTCGGAACTCATGGTATCGTGGGGGCAAATTTTCATAGGACAGGATAGCCACTATATCACTTTGCAATTCCTTGGCCGGTAACAAACTTGGTCAGCAAAGTTTTTTACAATATTTTTCACAGTGGGGGGACGTAAAATCTATAGTCCATGCTCCCCAGTTGATGGAAAGATTGTGAGTGGAGAACCAAGGAATGCCCAGGATGATGGAAAACTTGGGTGATGTAATCAGCTGAAAGCTGATGGTCTCACAATGGTCAGCCTCAAACAACAGTACCAGCGGAATCGTTTTATGGGTAACAGAACCTGAAGATAGGGGTGACCCATCAACTGTCTCCATATCAATAGGGGTAAATGTATTTCTGGCTTGAATATCATAGTTGTGGGCAAACTCTATATCCATAAAGTTCCCCCCAGCCCCAGAGTCCAGCATAGCTGAGCAGGAGATTTCACAGCCCTCAGATACAAGTTTTAATGGGGGATGACAAAATGAGAAAGCAGAGAGTTCACTTTATTCTCTTCAGGAATCAGTGGGGACACAGACTGGCTAATAGAGTTTATTTGTTCAGGCGCAATCACATCAATCACAGCAATTGTTCTTCTAACCTTGTTAGGACAATTAATTGTCTTCTCTCTTTCTCCTGAATGGAAATGGATCTCTTGATAGCATCAACCTGCATAGGCTCAGGAGTGTTAGAACTCAGAGAGACTTTTGAATCCTGCTGAACAAATGGACTAGCAGAGAGATGCATGCCCTATTACCTCCAAACATTCCCAGCCTCTCCTTCCTCCTTTCTGTAAGTCTTTGATCGATTCGGATACACAATTGGAGGAATTCCTCAAGTTCATTAGAAATATCTACTCTGGCAAGCTCATCCTTTACCTGTTCGGAAAGCCCTTGGTGGAACTAGCTTTTTTGTGCTGCAGGGTTCCAAGTGGAATTCAGCTGTGTATTCAGCGACCGAGCGCGTCTACCCTGCCGCAGACTATGCAACTTTGCTTCGGCAGTAGCACAACAGTTAGGATCATCAAAAACATGGTTCATTGCGGTCAAAAAGGTATCAAGATTATTCAGAGTGCCATTGTTAGGAATGGACTGGCCAGCAATGGTGGGACTCACCTGCCTTTTGATCTGCAGTACCAGGGCTGGCCAGCGGGTGCTCCCAGCAATCAGAGACTCAACCTTTCAGCCAGCTAACACCTGGAACTGATGATACTGGTGTATTTAAGGGATGGCCAGACTTGCAGACTCTGCCTTGGTGTTGTGTTTGTCCTGGGCCCTGTATCTGTCCTACATCCTGTTTCTGTTCCTTTGCTGACTTCTCCTGCTCTGATCCTGGCTTGTGACCCTGACCATCCCTCTGTCTGACCCTCTGTACTACGCTGCTTGCTACCTGTTCTGATCCCTGGCTTGTGACCCGGACCATCCCTCTGCCTGACCCTCTGTACCTCGCTGCTTGCTACCTGCTGAACCTGGCCTGTGACCCCGACCATTCTCCGCTTGCTCCCCCTGTACCTACCTGCCCAATTGATATTGACCCGGCCTGCCTGACGACGCTTGCTTGTATGTACTGTTATCTGTGGGTGGTTTGGTTTGGTTTGTTTGCACTGTATTATGTTTTAGTATTGCACTGCGTTTATGTTTGTACTGTTAGTGTTAATAAATTATATTGTTTATAACATATCTGAGGTCTGCGTTTCCCTGCTTCAGTCACACACCTCTGGTCATACCTGGGAGCCCTGACATTACACCAAGGCCAATCCTGACCAGAAGTGGCTGCACAGGGAAGCCATCTTGGCTTGTTGATGGGAAGGATGGATCTTGATGAGGTTGAGTATTTATATCTGCTAGTGTTTGATGACAGGGAGTATGCTTATCAAACTCTGGAGTATACCCGGGATGCATTGCTAGAATGTATACGGCTCGCTCATGTTCTAGTAGATCAGGGCACAGTGTTCTCTGAGGTGCAGCCATTGATTCAGGTTTGTGCTGAGTTGGTTTCATCTGGTTCCCCCGAATGCAGGGATGAATTTTTGCCACCATTTAGTGCAGACCAGGTAGAGTCCCTGGTGTGGTTATTAGAGGATGATGTGGGTTACTTTCTGGAGCGTTATTCCACATGTTCACCACAGACACTGAGAGATTGTATAAACGCAGTGCAGTCATTGACCAGACAGGCTTTGTGTAAGCTCAGCTTTGTTCAACCCCTACTGCAGACATGGACAGATTTGTTGCACCCAGCCTCAGTCAGCTTACAAAGACCCAGTCCTGCTTCTAACTCTACTCCTGTATTCCCACCAGCTCCTCCAGTTACAGCCCAGTATACTTGGCTATCTACCGCATGTCAGTACCCTGTTCCCACTCGCTGCACCTATCCTGCCTTTAACCCTGTAAAGAAGCCCTCTGTAGCAACTGCTCCCTCTCCTGTTCCATCCTCCAGTTCTTCTCTGTCTTCAGCTGCTCCATTCGTTTGCAGACCTGCGTTTACTTGCAGTGCTCCAGTAGTTAAAACCAGAAAAAAGCGAAAATTCTTTCCAACCAATACCATCCTGCCAGTATCCAAACCGGTGAGCCTGCCTTCCGTGGTTCAGACTGATGCCTGTACGCAGCCTGAAGCCTCTACGCGGCCTGAAGCCTCTACGCGGCCTGAAGCCTCTACTCGGCCTGAAGCCTGTACTCGGCCTGATGCCTCTACTCGGCCTGAAGCCTCTACGCGGCCTGAAGCCTCTCCTCAGCCTGAAGCCTCTACGCGGCCTGATGCCTGTACTCGGCCTGATGCCTGTACTCGGCCTGATGCCTCTCTTCAGCCTGATGCCTCTACTCGGCCTGATGCCTCTACTCGGCCTGAAGCCTCTACTCGGCCTAATGCCTCTACCCAGCATGATGAACTGATCCAGCCTGACGATCCTATTAGGCCAGTTGACTCGATGCCCGCTGTTGATCCAGATAATCCGGTACCTGATCCGGTGCCCGCTGTCGTGCCAATTGACTCAGAGCCCGCTGTCGTACCTGGTGACTCGGTGCCCACTGCCTTGCCAGATGACGCGGTGCCCGCTGGCAAGCCAAATGACCTGATGCCTGGTGACCTAGTGTCCGCTGTCATACCTGATGACCCGATGCCCGCTGTCGAGCAAGACAATCCGGTACCTGATGACCCGGTGCCCACTGTCGTGCCTGTTGACTCGGAGACCACTGCCTTGCCAGATGACGCGGTGCCCGCTGTCGAGCCAAATGACCTGATGCCTGGTGGACCCCGATGCCCGCTGTCCAGCCAGACGATTCAATGTTTGCCCCAGTGCCCGCGGTCATGCCAGTTGACTCGGAGCCCACTGCCTTGCCAGATGACGCGGTGCCCGCTGTCGAGCCAAATGACCTGATGCCTGGTGACCCGATGCCCGCTGTCCAGCCAGACCATCCAATGTCTGACCCAGTGCCTGCGGTCATACCAGTTGACTCGGAGCCCACTGTCGTGCCTGGTGACTCGGTGCCCGCCGCTCCGCCTGGGGATCCGGCGCCCGCCGCCCCGCCTGGGGGCCTGAGACCTGTCGCTCCGCCTGAGGGCCCGAGACCTGTCGCTCCACCTGGGGGTCCGGCGCCCGCCGCTCCGCCTGAGGGCCCGAGACCTGTCGCTCCTCCTGGGGGTCCGGCGCGCCCGCCGCTCCGCCTGAGGGCCCGAGACCTGTCGCTCCGCCTGGGGGTCCGGCGCCTGCCGCTCCGCTGAGGGCCCGAGACCTGTCGCTCCACCTGGGGGTCCGGCGCCCGCCGCTCCGCCTGAGGGCCCGAGACCTGTCGCTCCATCTGGAGGTCCGGCGCCCGCCGCTCCGCCTGAGGGCCCGAGACCTGTCGCTCCGCCTGGGGGGTCCGGCGCCCGCCGCTCCGCCTGGGGGCACGATGCCTGTCGCCCCGCCTGGGGGCACGATGCCTGTCGCCCCGCCTGGGGGCACGATGCCTGTCGCCCCGCCTGGGGGCATGGTGCCTGTCGCCCCGCCTGGGGGCCCGGTGCCTGTCGCCCCGCCCGGGGGCCCGGTGCCTGCTGCTCCGCCCGGGGGCCCGGTGCCTGCTGCTCCGCCCGGGGGCCCGGTGCCTCTGCCCGATGTGCCTCTGCCCGGAGTCCTGCCCGATGTGCCTCTGCCCGGTGTGCCTCTGCTCGATGTGCCTCTGCCCGGAGTCCAGCCCGGTGTGCCGCTGCCCGGAGTCCTGCCCGGTGTGCCAGTCTTTGATATCCCGCCAGTTGCCAAGACCGGGCGGTGGAACATTTTGCCCAGCTAGGACTGTTTGGAGCGTCCTGAGGCCGCTCCTTGAGGGGGGGGGTACTGTTAGGAATGGACTGGCCAGCAATGGTGGGACTCACCTTGCCTTTTGATCTGCAGTACCAGGGCTGGCCAGCGGGTGCTCCCAGCAATCAGAGACTCAACCTTTCAGCCAGCTAACACCTGGAACTGTTGATACTGGTGTATTTAAGGGATGGCCAGACTTGCAGACTCTGCCTTGGTGTTGTGTTTGTCCTGGGCCCTGTATCTGTCCTACATCCTGTTTCTGTTCCTTTGCTGACTTCTCCTGCTCTGATCCTGGCTTGTGACCCTGACCATCCCTCTGTCTGACCCTCTGTACTACGCTGCTTGCTACCTGTTCGATCCCTGGCTTGTGACCCGGACCATCCCTCTGCCTGACCCTCTGTACTATGCTGCTTGCTACCTGCTGAACCTGGCCTGTGACCCCGACCATTTCTCCGCTTGCTCCCCCTGTACCTACCTGCCCAATTGATATTGACCCGGCCTGCCTGACGACGCTTGCTTGTATGTACTGTTATCTGTGGGTGGTTTGGTTTGGTTTGTTTGCACTGTATTATGTTTTGTATTGCACTGCGTTTATGTTTGTACTGTTAGTGTTAATAAATGATATTGTTTATAACATATCTGAGGTCTGCGTTTCCCTGCGTCAGCCACACACCTCTGGTTCATACCTGGGAGCCCTGACAGCCATTGTCTTATTCTATATAAGGGGAGGCCCAAGCTAGAGCTTCCCCAGTCAGAAGCCCAATAATAAACATTACCTTCTTTTTCTCTGAAGGAAAACACAGCAGGGTACATTTGGAAAATATATACGACATTGATAAGGAAACCCCTGTAATGGCGGCGGTCTCCATTAAACTTAGATGGTTGGGGCTGGGGCATATGTGAGTTGGTATCATCTCGGTTCAGCAGTTGTTGCTGCAGAGTCTGAATCTCTCCCTGTTGCCTATCTACTATGCTTTCTAGTTTGGCAACTTTTTCTTGATGGGTAACCCGAATTCCTGCAGCTCAGCAATTTGCTGCCTAAGAGGAGCCACAATGTTTCCTATAGCGGCCTCCATGTTTGAGCCAGATTATTCTCTCACGGTCTGGGTCATGTTCAGAGACCAGTTGCTATAGCAGTGTTAAGGCTTACCTGAAACCAGCAGGATAGGTACACAAGCAGGTCACCCTGGGAATGACGCAGGCTCACCTGAGGTGCGGGGTCTAAGCACTAACCGGTTTTCACCAGAGCTCCTAATGGTGGAGATGGATTTGGCTGAGTGTTAGTACAAGGTCGCAGATCTCAGGATCACCCCACCAGTAAATGAGCAAGCCAGAATCCAATAGCAGATCGAACAGGTTAGGGATCAAGCAGAAGCGGAGTCAGTCAACAAGCCAAGGGTCGGTTACAAATGGTAGAGGATGAGGCAGAATTGTAGTCCAGGAACAAGCCAAAGGTTGGTAGCGAAGGTATAGACGGCAGCAGGAGAGACAAGCGGGATATTGGCTGGAGAAGGCACAATAATCTGGCAAACAGGATGCAGAGACATGGCTTTTATCAGGAAGTTCATGGGAGGAGCAAGGGGTTCAAGGTTCAAGATAAACAAGGCCAAGGTAGGATCATCCAAATAATTGTCAAGGGAGCTGTCCAGCATTCCAGGTGGCTCAGCGAGAAGAAACATTGCCCCTCACTGCAGAAGCCCCAGGTTCGGACCAGGCTCTGGCAGTCCCGAGCCTTGAGAGAACCCTCCTATCATAGTTTTGGAGATCCAAAACTAGCTTTACACATTAGGAGTTCATAATTTAAATACAGCATGGGCAGGCCTTATGAAATATATATCCCCAAGTATTTAAAAGTGCTAGAACAGATCTTAAATGGAAAGCTCCCCTCAAGTGCCCGCACTGCAGATGCTGGAAGTGAAACATTCAGAATTCCAGATTTAGATAAATTGAGTTTGAAGTTGCCCACAGATCTGAACCTTTGAAGTTCCTGTAGTATAGATAGCATTGCTTTGTGAGGTTTGGTCATATACAGGAGAAGGTCATCTGCAAATGAAGATAATTTGACCTGTAATGCACCCACAGACAGCCCAGGGATATTAGGATTGCGCCTAAGGGCAACTGCGAAGTGCTCCATCATTAACATATATAGCAAAGGAGATAGAAGGCAGCCCCGGAGCATAACTTTATTAATAGGAAGCCATAGGGAAAGAGATCCACTGACCCTCACCCTTGCAGTAGGGAAAGAGTATAAGGCCAGAATGCTAGATGTCATCCTGGGGCCCAATCCTATTTGGATCAAAGTGTCTCACAGGAGGGACCAGCTGACTATCAAAGGCCTTCTCTGCATCAACCGACAGGAGGAAAATGAGGATAGAAGAAAGACTGAGCGTGTTATATTAGCAACAATGTTTTAATCATATTATCTTGGGCCTCCCGCCCAGTAACAAAACCCACACGATCCAGATGGATAAGACCCGAGAGTAAGGGTTGGAGTCTATTAGCAATCATTTTAGAATACAGTTGCAAGAAAAAGTATGTGAACCCCTTGGGATTACGTGGAGTTTTGCATGAATTGGGCATAAAATGTGCTCTGAACGTCATCTAAGTCACAACAATAGAAGAACACAGTCTGCTGAACATAATACTACACATACATTAGATGTTGCCATGGTTTAATTGCACATGACATGTAAACATTCACAGTGCAGGGAGGAAAAAGTATGTGATGTGGCCCTAGCTTAATGACTTGTCCCAGAGCTAATTGGAGCCAGGAGTGAGCCAACCTTGACTCCAATCAGGGTGATGATATTGTTGATGACAGCTGTCCTGCCCTTAAAAAACACACACCTGTTTTGGGTTTACTGGTTTCAAGAAGCACTATCTGATGTGAACCATGCCTCGCAGAAAAGAGCTCTCAGAAGACCTACGATCAAGAATTGTTGACTTGCATGAAGCTGGAAAGGGTTACAAAAGTATCTCCAAAAGCCTTGATGTTCTACAATGGTCTACAAATGGAGAAAGTTTAGCACTGTTGCTACTCTCCTAGGCGTGGTCGTCCTGTAAAAATGACTGCAAGAGCACAGCGCAGAATGCTGCATGAGGTAAAGAAGAATCCCAGAGTGTCAGCTAAAGACCTACAGAAATCTCTGGCACATGCTAACATTTTTGTTGACACATCTACAATAAGGAAAACATTAAACAAGAATGGAGTACATGGGAGGACACCACGGAGGAAGCCATTGCTGTCCAAAAAGAATATTGCAGCAGAGCACCTGGATGTTCCACAGCACTACTGGCAAAATATACTGTGGACAGATGAAACCAAGATTGAGTTGTTTGGGAAGAACACACAACACTATGTGTGGAGAAAAAAAGGCACAGCACACCACCAACATCAAAACCTCATCCCCACTGTGAAACATGGCGGAGGGAGCATCATGGTTTGGGGCTGCTTTGCTGCCTCAGGGCCTGGACGGATTGTTGTCATTGATGGGAAAATGAATTCCAGAGCTTATCAAGACATTTTGCAGGAAAACGTACCATCTGTCCGCCAACTGAAGCTCCGCAGAGGATGGGTGATGCAACAGGACAATGACCCAAAGCATACAAGTCATTCAACAAAACAATGGCTGCAACAACACAGAATACGCCTTCTGGAGTGGCCCAGTCAGAGTCCTGACCTCAACCCAATTGAAATGCTGTGGCATGACCTTAAGAGAGCGATTCACACCAGATATCCCAAGAATATTGCTACACTGAAACAGTTTTGTGAAGAGGAGTGGTCCAAAATGACTCCAGATTGTTGTGCAGGTCTGATCTGCAACTACAGGAAACGTTTGGTTGAGGTTATTGCTGCCAAAGGAGGGTCAACCAGTTATTAAGTCCAAAGGTTCACATACTTTTTCCTCCCTGCACTGTGAATGTTTACATGTAATGTGCAATTAAACCATGGCAACATCTAATGTTTGTGTAGTATTATGTTCAGCAGACTGTGTTCTTCTATTGTTGTGACTTAGATGACGTTCAGAGCACATTTTATGCCCAAATTCATGCAAAAACTCCACGTAATCCCAAGGGGTTCACATACTTTTTCTTGCAACTGTAGATTGTCAGATCGATCCCAACCAAAGAAATTAGTTGATAATTTTAAGATAGGGTATGATATCCTTATCATGTTTAGGTATTAAAGAAATATGTGCTTCAAGAGCCTGTGTGGGAAAAGATTCCCCTTGAGAGACCGCATTGAAAATTGTGGATTAAAACCATCCAGGCCTGGACTTTTCCCGAACAGAGTATTACCTATAGAGGTAAAAAGCTCTTCTTCCATAAATGGTGCTTCTAACACAGTTTTATGAATGGAGCCTCTAACACAGTTTTCATTTCACAGTCTCTGTATTTATTCTCCAAACACGGAAAGGTTTCTTCACAGTAAGAGCTGTGAAAATGTGGAATAGACTCCCTCAAGAGTTGGTTCTGGCCAGCTTA